AAAAAAAAAAAAAAAAAAAAAAAAAAAAAAAAAAAAAAAAAAAAAAGGAAACACAGCAAGATCTTATCCTATGGAACCTGGCCAACAAGAAGACAAAGGAGAGACTGTCTAGAATTGAAATCCAATTTGTGTGAGGGGGATAGTGATGGAGGGGGTTAAGGAGCATGATTTTGAGAACGCAAGGACCTGTTTTAATGAAAAGAGTTCATGGGGAGTTTTGAGAGACTTTGGGTTGGAATTAATTTGATGGGTTTGTGTAAGTCACCACCCGGCCCCTATTTTGAGACAGGGTTTTGTTCTGTTGTCCTGGCTGGAGTGCAGTGGCACAGTCCTAGCTCATTGCATCCTCAAGCTCCTGGGCTTAAGTGATCCTCCCCCTTCAATCTCCCAAAATAGCTGGGACCATAGGCACATGCCACCACCATACAGGCTATTTTTGAATTTTTTGTAGGGATGGGGTCTGGCCATGTTCCCCAGGCTTTTGTTGAACTCTTGGGTTCAAATAATCCTCCTGCCTATGCATCTGAAAGTACTTGGATTACAGGCATGGGCCACTTTGCCTAGCTGTTTGCACCATTACTTTGAAGAAAAATGTTATGCTTCGGTATTTTGATCATAAAACGTGACAGGAGGTTTTTTTTTTTTTGAGCGGAGTCTTGCTCTGTCTCCAGGCTGGAGTACAGTGGCACAATCTTGGCTGACTGCAACGTTCATCTCCTGGGTTCAAGCGATTCCCCTACCTCAGCCTTCTGAGTAGCTGGGCCTACAGTCACGCACCACCACGCCTGGCTAATTTTTTATATTTTAGTAGAAACAGGGTTTCACCATGGCCAGGATGGTCTTGATCTTTTGACCTCAGCCTCCCAAAGTGCTGGGATTACAGGCATGAGCCACCGTGTCTGGCTTTTTTTTTTTTTTTTTTTTTAAACACTGAGTCTCAGACTGTCACTCAGGCTAGAGTTCAGTGGCACGATCTCGGCTCCCTACAACCTCTGCCATCTGGGTTCAAGCAGTTCTTCTGCCTCAGCCCCCTGAGTAGCTGAGATACAGGTATGTGCTACTATGCCTGGCTAATTTTTGTATTTTTAGTATAGGTGGGGTTTCACCATGTTGGCCAGGCTGATCTTGAACTCCTACCTTGGCTTTCCAAAGTGCTGGGATTACAGGCGTGAGCCACGCCACCCAATCTGTGACAAGAATTTTTTTAAAGGACGTACCCAAAATTCCATTTTTAATCTTTCAATTTTTTTATTTTCTGTTGATCCATAAAGTAATTGTGTAATATTAAATATACATGTATATTAAATTTTATTCTCCTATCTTTTGCCGTATACTGACATACATGACATACACTTTTATGTTATTGGGATAATGACATATAATCAATTATATACATTGTTATTATTATTTTATTTTTACAGATAGGGTGTTGGTGTGTCATCCAGGCTGGAGTGTGTTGGCACTGTCTTGGCTCATTGTAGCCCCTATCTCCTGGGGCTACAGTGAAGACATCCTCCTGCTTCAGTCTCCCAAGTAGCTGGGACCACACATATGTGTCACCACAGGCAGCTCGCGCTCTCTCTCTCTCTCTCTCTCTCTCTCTCTATATATATATATATATGTATATATATATATATGTATTTATGTTTTTAGAGGCACGGTCTCACTTTGTTGCTCAGGCTGTTCTCCTGGGCTAAACCATCTGCTCACCTTGCCCTCC